AGTGCTGGTAGAACCTTTAGAGGCAGGTAAATAGCACAATGGATAGAATGCTAGGATCTGCGTTTAAATTCAGCCACAGACGTTTATTTGCTGTGTGATGATCCTAAGGAAATTATTTAACCTCTATCTACCTGAATTTCCTGAACTGTAAAATGGGGATAATAGTAACTAACACCTATCTCTAAAGGTTGTTGTGAGGATCAGATGATTGCAAAATGTTTAACATAGTGCCTATCACATAGTAGGCACTTAATAAATGGTTGTTTCCTATTTTCATTCCTTACAGGATGAGCAACAATAGGATTTGACCACTGATAGAAATAGAGGGTGAGAGAGAGAGAGAGGACTCAAAGACGATGCTTAGGATTCCAGCCTGGGAGACTGGGAGGATGGTGGTATCCCTGACAGTAACAGGGAAGTGCAATTCCTTCCTTGAGCGCAAAAGGTATTACTGGAAATTTAGATTATCATAGCCAGAGAATGTAGGTTAACAGCTTCTAACCATGGAGGGAGAGAATCATACTCTGAGCCCATTATTAGTCTGCCTGGCAGAAGGCCCCATGAGACATCTAGTACTTAATGCAGCAGAAAGGATAACTTTTCTAGAAAACTCTGGGGCTGCAATATGTGAAGACAAGACAGCTCCTTAACCTGCTGTTATGTGAACTTCAGTGGCTCTGGAACCTGTGATAAATGTGTAGCTATTTTGATGATTGTTTTATTAAACATTTTGCTAATAAGGGTTTGCTGCCAATACACTCATCATTTGACTCCCTTTACTACTATTGTGACATGAGGATTTCTCTCACTTGAAGAGTTTTCTTTTTTCCTTTTGGGGTGGGGGTCCTATTACTTCATATTCCTGATAAAAATTGAGATAGTTTCTGACATTACTGTATCTGAATGTGTGGTGATGGTAATAGTAGTAAGAATTTATGTAGCACTCTAAGGTTTGCAAACTGCTTTACAAATACACATTTTATCCTCACAATAACCTTGGGAGGTAGATGCTATTATTATTATGCCTATTTTACAAATGAGGAAATTGAGGCATTCAGAGGTTAAGTGACTTGCCCAGGATCACACAGCTAGTAAGTGTCTCAGACCAGATTTGAACTTGGCACTTCCTGACTCCAGTTACAGTGCTCTATTCACTGCACATTGCTCTTATCTAACTGCCTTATGTTTATATAATAGTTTCTATTGTTTTAAGAAAGAAATCTTGTCCTTCTGTGTCTACAGAAAGTCAGACTACTCATTGCTCAAGCTTATGCTTTGAGCTCATGTTCTGTACTCCAGAGGTGTCAAACAAGTGGGCCATAACTAGATTAAAATGTAATTTGGAATATTTAACAAAATAAGTAAAATATAGTAGGATATTTTGTTGCTGTTTAGTCGTGTCTGATTTTTCATGACCCCATTTCAGGTTTTCTTGGCAAAAATATTGGAGCGGTTTACCATTTCCTTCTCCAGCCCATTTTACAGATGAGGAAACTGAGGCAAATGGGGTTAAGCGACTTGCCTAGGGTCACATAGCTAGTAAGTGAGTCCATATTTGGACTCGGATCTTCCTGACTCTAGGCCTGGTGCTCTATGCCACCTGGCTACCCACAATAGAACACAGATAATGTCAATATGTGGTTTTCTAAGTCATTCAACCAGGGATCCTTGTGTATGATTTAGTGTCCCTTTTTTCCCCCCTGTTTTAAATAGAAAACTCTATACCAACTAACTACTCTATACCAACCAACAATTATGTATATGCTTGAGTAATTTAACATGAGATAGGTACTTTGGCAGTTTTTCCAACAAACTAACATATGAACAGGTGTAGGAATAATACTGTTCCCTTCCTGTCTTCTCTAGCAATTTGTACCCTCAATCTTCCCCACCCTCCCTCAGATCTTCACCTTTTCCCCATCTACTGATTCCTTCCCCCTTTCAAACATCCTCATATTCACCATCCATCCCTCAAACAAATAAACAAACTTCAGTAGGCCTGACCATCATGTCAAGCTGTCATCCTGTATCTCTCTTTCTTTTCTCAGCCAGACTCCCCCAGAAGCTGACTACATGATCACTGCAAGTGGTACAGCCTGGTTTCTGACTTCTTTACTCAAATGAAACTGCTTCCTCTAAAGTTATCAACAGACCGTCAGCTTCATTGACCACCATCTCCTTCTGTATAATTTCTCCTCTCAGGGTTTTCATGACCCCACTCTCTCCTGATTGTCTTTCTTACCTATCTGATCACTCCTTTTCTGTCTCCTTTGCTGGTTTGTCATCCACATTATGCCCCTGTAAGTGAGTATTACTCCAGGTTTTGTCCTAGGCCCTCTTTTCTTCATTCTCTTCAGTCTTTCCCTCATTAGCTCCCATGGTTTTAATTATCATCTTTATGCATAAGACTACCACATCTATCTATCCAGTCCCAGGCTTTCCACAGAGATTCAACCAGCATCACCAATTGCCTATTCTACATTTCAAGCTAGATGACCCAGAGATATCTCAAACTCAATATGTCCAAAACTGAGTTCATTATATTTCCCCCCAAATCTACCCCTCTTCCAAAATTCCCTATTTTCTTTGAAGGTACCATCATACTTCAAGTTTCTCGTGTTTTTAACCTTGGCATTACCCTGAACTCATTCACCATTGTCAAGTGTATCCAAATTAGTTGCCAGATTTTACCATCTGCCTTCAGAAAATCTCTAAGATCTTGCCCCTTCTTTCTGCTCAGATCTGCTACTATCTTAGTTCAGACCTTCATTATCTTTCACCTAGATGATCACAATGACCTCCTGATTCATCTTCCTACCTTAGGTGCCTCCCATTCCAGTCCATTCTCCATATTGTACCAAAATTGGTTTCCTGAAGTCCAGGTTGAGCTATGCTACTCAATCATCTCCACTAGTTCCCTTTTGCCTCTAGGAACAAAAATAAACCCCAATTGAGTGAGTTTTAAAGCTGTATACAACCTGACCACAGCCAACTTTTCCAACCTTATTATGCATTGCACTCTTTACCATACAGCCAGACTGGTCTTACTTTTTCTATTCCTCCTCCATGATGCTTCATCTCTCATCACCATGCCTTTCCCTCATGCCTAGGATCAATTTCTTTCCTCACTTTTGTTTTGTGGAATCTTTCTCTTCCTTCAAGGCCTGGGTAAGGAAAAGGGCTATCTCATTGTCAGAGATTGGGGGATGATGTCAAGGGGTTTAAAGGTAAAAAAAATGGGAGATAAGAAATGGAACAAAGGTTTTATGTGATGGAACAGTGGAAGATGAAGTCTAAAGGCTGGTAGCAAATTATTGGGGGAGGGTGGTATTGAGGGAGTTGGTAAATGTTCACTAAGTGAAAGGAGACTAGTCAGCCTGAAGTTTAGTCAAATCAGGTGCCTTGATGGCACTTGCCTTTTGCTTTTTAGGAATGATTAGGACCACACTCGAGGCTTGTCCTCATATCTGTGGTCTCTGTTATAAACCTACAATGCACTTTATATGTAAATTGTTATCATTATAGATAGTTCTTTGATTAAACTGTATCCCATCTACACCACCTCTGCTGGTGCAGTGTTATGAAGGAATGTCATGTCCTAGGAGACTTGTAGAATTCACAGTATGTCATCTTATCCTTAAGTCAAAAGTATTTTGGTTTTCCTCTTTGTGCAATCTTCTTCCACAGATGCAAATGGTGATCCGTCTATAATTTATGGTCTTAGAGAGTTTCGTTAGGTTCAGAGAAGTTAAACGACTTGCCCATGTTCACTTAGCTAGTAAATATCAGCCTGGGAATTTAAACCCAGATCTTCTTAACTACTGTAGCTAGGTTACCCTGCCTGTACTTTATCCTTAGGAGATTTTAATCACCTATTTTGCATGTTATGGTAGTAAATTACTTATTATGGTAACCATTCATTCTTGGTCTGCAGATCCTCAGGGGTGTCTATCCTGTCAGGCCTTCCTGTTTGTTAAATTTGGTATAGTTGGTTTGTATTGAAGTTTGTCATTTCTACATAGAATCAAAACACAAACGTTTATTAAGTACCTACTATGTACTTGCCACTGTTAGGTGCTGTGGATACAAAGACAAAAATGAAAATGCAAAGAAGAAATGCTACTTTAAGGCCAGATGTGAGTCTTATTTCAGGACTTCGTAATTTGTATGACATAATTTCAACACTAAAGGGGAATGTGATTTCATTTGAAAATGTGTTGAAATGTAGAAGTGAAGAGTGAGATACCACTGACACTTTTCAATTTATGGGGAGAAAATTAGAAGTAACTCAGTGTTTCTGGATATAACCATTTGGTAATCATGCTTTGGAAAGAGGCCCTCCAGGAATCATCTTGTCTTCTGAATATTCCTAGGAAAAGACTACATTTGCCTAGATTTGGATTGAATGAAATGCCATTCTTCTACCTCTCTCATAACCATTCCCCATGGGAGGAATTCCAGTTTCTTTATCACCTATACAAATAACCCTTTGCTCTGGTGTGTGTGGGGGGGGTGGGGTGGGGGGGGTTGGTTTTGTTTTTTTGGCTAGAAACTCAAGCAACAGTTACAGGAAGTACAGAAGTGGATGGTATGGAGTATTCTAGGATGAGGATTCCCTCCCCCCTGGGTGTTTGCTGTCATCCATTTGCTGCCATCCAGTGATTCTCTTCCCATTGAAACTTCACTCATTTTAAAATAACCTTCCTGTTTCAAACTTAGTCCTGACTTGTAAAGTTCTATTACACCTGTTAACACACATATTCAAACATGCAGACACATCTTCCCCTTTATATTTGTACAGCTTATCACCTTGCCAAATCTTCCCTCCCACTTTAGTCAAATCCTCAACCATAATGCAAAATATTGAAGTAAGCATTTCTTTTTTTCAGAGTTCACATTCTATAGCCACCAAAGTGGAAACCTGGTGCTGTTTCCTGAGAGTTGTCTGTTCTTTGCGGTTAGCTGTGCTATACCAATTTTTTTTTTCTTCCTTCTCACAGCAGAATGGAAGTGAAAGAAGGAAACTGGCTTACACAGGAGCCCGAGTGAGACTGCCTGTCCTTTTCGAGACCAACACCATGGATTCGCATCTCCCTTTGGTGCTTTAAGATCCAACCCAAGGAAAGAAGCAGCTCCTTGGGAGCCATGGCTTTCTTTGCTCCATGGAAGTTATCCTCTCAGAAACTAGGGTTTTTCCTTGTGACTTTTGGCTTCATTTGGGGTATGATGCTTCTGCATTTTACCATCCAGCAACGAACTCAACATGAAAGCAGCTCAATGCTTCGTGAACAAATACTGGACCTCAGCAAAAGGTACATCAAGGCTCTGGCAGAAGAAAATAGGAATGTGGTGGATGGGCCCTATGTTGGTGTGATGACAGCCTATGGTAAGTCTTAAATATGTTGTTTCTCTATTAAGATAGCTACTGGTAGTGTTTTAAAAATTACAATCCCAAACTCAAAGTGCTCTATTAATTGAGTAATTAATTGTGTGTGTCTCATCAGCTGCATCTTTAGGAGCATTCACTAAATTAGCTATTTGGTAATTGTGCCATATACAGACATTCCCTGCATCATTAGAGCTGACCCTTTCTGAAGAGAAGGCTCCAGCCATCAACATAGTCTCAGAGATTCACTCACTGATTCATTGGAGACATTTGTAGGGAACTCTTCAATATCTGTGTGTGGAACTTGTTTGGGAAATTTTTAAGCCTAACTTTTTTTTTCTTTCCCCACTCAATATATATCTGGACCACTTCCTTCCTCATTTCCCCAACCCATACAAATCAAGCCTAACTGGGATTGTACTGGGGGAAAGTGAGCATAATATATTCTGATGCCAAACACAAATAATGTGCTTGAGGTTCTAGGCTAATTCATATAATAAGATGATAATATTTTGAATTTTTAAAAATTTTTGGCAATCATGAAAATTTATTACAAACTATAGGATATATTCAATTCTTTGGATAATAGTTACTTCCCTGTTACCGAAGTCTTTCTTGAGTAATAAAATTTTTAAGAGAGTGTCAGAAACTTCCTGTGTTGGATTATTTACACACTGTTCTCAGTTGAGGGTCTAGAGTTGATTATATATGTAAAAGGACAGTGCTCTGGGCAAGGGAATGCTATTGAACAGGTATTTATTTTGTTTGTAAGTTTTCGTGGGGAATAGTGGTGCATTGTGTATGAGCTAATTGTAGGGATGGCAAAGAAGAAAATGACTATTCTATATCGTTTCTTGCTTAAGGATTTCTTACAAAAATAATTTAAATGATGTTTAATTTCCTATTTTACATATTTTCCATGAAGAGAAACTAGTCTTAAGGGAGTTTGTCAAAGTTTTTCTTGAATACTAGCTAACTCATCAGCCTGTCTGTTTTTAATCTCTCCCTTCAGAGCATGGCTGGTCAGTAAGACATTTGTTACCGATATGTCTAAAATAAAATTCCATCTTCACATAATTTCCCATCTAGTTTTTTATCTTGTGATCCTATTCAGTATAGATGAGACACCATTTTGCAAGAATTTTCTGAAATCCAGGGGCAGTTAGGTGGCTCAGTGGATAGCGCTCCGGCCTTGGAGTCAGGAAGACCTGAGTTCAAATACGGCTTTATACACTTGACACTTACTAGCTGTATGACCCTGGGCAAGTCACTTAACCCCAACTGCCTTACCAAAAAGCAAAAAAAAAAAAGAAAAGAAAAATAATTTTCTGAAATCCAGTTGGACCCACTTTCAGAGAATAGATCAGAAATTAAGAATTTACTGTCTAATTTTTGGTTAACTAAATCTTCTAGGACATTTCTAGAATTGTTTGTCTAAGCCGTATGAAACTAAAATGATGGTCCCATTGATTTTCAATAGACACTTTGAGGGTACATCTATGTTCAGTGTCCTAATCTATATATTTTATTTGTATTTTTTTTCCTCTTTATGGAATAAGAAAGAAGAAGTGAGAAATTTTTCTTTCCCTTTGCTATGAAAGTTAGAGGCAGTGAAGTATGATGAATTGAGATGCTGGCCTCAGAGTGTGAAGCTCTAGCTTCAGCCTCTAACACCTATTGGCTGTGTGACCCTGGGCAAATCACTTAACCTCTCAGTGTTCTAGGTAATTTTCTAAGCCTGTAAATTGCAGAGATGCCAACTTGCATTGTTTCCTCGTCCAAGGGTTCCTGGATCAATTAAATCATAGGTCTAGTCCTTATTCCTATTACTAGAAAAGCTTTGTGAGAAGGGTCCTGCTTTAAGTCATATGAATATTCGATGACAAAATTCCACCTACTCTAATTAGATCATTTCTTTCTTCATTGCTTTTCATGAATAGTTATTCACAAAATAGAATGTTCTCTGACGTTAAAGGGAATAAACAATCATGCCTCAGGTATAAAACTTCACAGGGGTAATACTAAGGAACAATCTTTGTTTCAATTTCCTTTTCTGAGTTGGGTGCCTTAAAAGATTCATCAGAAATTCCTGCATATCCTGCTATGATTTCTTTCCCTTACGGCAATTTGTCACATCAGTTCAAGTTGCTCAGTTTTATAGCTGAGTGTATGCCGATGAGACAGACTGTGTTCGACTGTGCTGAAGTATTTGAGATCATAGGGTGAATATCACTGACCAAAAGAGAATGGGAGCAAAGGAAAATGAAGTTATCAGTCATCACAATCTTATAGCAATTCTCGGGCAGGTCCACATTTTAATTATTTAAAATTTGCTAGCCTAGTTTTTTTTTTCCTTCCTTTTTCTCTAGTTGCAAGCTGAGTACTTACAGAGATCCATGGTAGTACTCTCCATGAAGGGAATTTGAGTTCCAGGCACAGTACTTGGAACCTCTTTATTATCCTGATGACCTGTGTTTCCACTGAATCCATTGCTGTCAAGATGCAGAAGCATTGGCAGTCTAGTCCTGTTGTTTTTTGGAGATGAGGAAACAGGAAGTTGAGGGATTTAGCCACATAGGCAGAATTGGGATTAAAATGCAAGACTCTTCAATGTCTATCCTACTGCTCAGCCCCATATGCACTAAACTGTTTAATTATATGTTCTGAAGGAAGGAAAGGCTACCCAGCAACCATCCTTGTCTGTGGTTGGAAAGATGTCTGATAAAATATTGCAGAATTCCTCTTATCCCTTCTCATATCAGATTAATTAAAGATTTGGTAGGTATACATTAAGAAAGCCTTTGGTAGACATGCCAAGTCCTTGCAAGAATCATAGTAGGTTGATTCAGTAGTTCAATACTGAGTAATAAAATTCCAAAACTAGAAGGTACTGTAGAGAGTCATTTAATCAATTTTGACTGCTAGAGGTAGTTTCCTGTTGTCCAGGCCCAAGGCTAGTAATGACTGATCTTGTTCAACACAGCTTCATTCCTGGTACTAGGGCTTACGCAAGACAGCATCCTGGAGAAGCATATCCAGTCAGTGGCTCTTGAGGTCTCTCAAAATTGTGATATGAGTAGAAATTAATGAGCTCTCCAGCAATATCAATCTCCAAACCCTTATGTCTTAGGGAATTGGAAAGAAAGTCTTAATCCCATTTTGTGGAATCTTAAAAGACAAGTTCTTGGGACATCTCTCTTGTGGTCCCCTATTCTCTATCCAAATGGGAAGTGGGAAGACAGTAGTATTTTCCACCTATTTTCTCTAGTCTGAGTAGGATTATGTTTGTTTTAGTTTGATGCACCAGCCATTTAAAAGTTCCTACTATATACAAGGTACTGAGCTAGGCACAGGGGATACAAAGGTGAAATGGGATCATCCTGATTCCGGGCCCAGCAATTATCCAGTGGTCCACCTCACTGCCCCCTGATATGGTGTACAGGGCCTTAAATGCCAGGAAGAGTTTGTATTTTTTCCTAGTTGAGTAAGGAATCATTGACAGTTTATAAGCAGGGGGAGTAAGACAGTTGAATTTGTATGTCAGGAAGATTATTTTAGCAGAAATGTGGTAGATGGATTAGACTGGATTCAGGGAGATTAATAGTTTAGGTCAGAGATGATGATAAAGACCAGTACCTGAGCATTGACAATATGAGTGGAAAAAAAAGGAGATGAATATGACAGATATTATAGTATTAGAATCAGCCGATCTTGGCAACAGAGTAACTTTGGGGCTTAAATGGAGAGAAAAGAGTCTAGAATGGTAGCCCCAAGGTTTCCAGCTTGGGTGACTGGGAGGATGGTGGTATCCTCCAAACTAAGTATGTAAATATTTAAGTATTAATGTACGTAAGAGGAGAGGGTTTGGGGCAAAGATGAGGAATTTATATAGCTCTGGTGACTAGTCACACCTGGGTACCTCAGTCACTCACAGGTGTTGCTGTGCTAAACCTTGTCTTCTTCATGTTCTTTGATTCTTGACTGTTTGCCTGGGTTTTGACCCACTCTTTTGCCTTGACCTCTAAACTTCTGTATATTTCTTGTTCCTAGACTATAGGCCTGACATTTCACCTGCTGTTTGGTCTTAATCCTCTTGTTGTTCATCCTTTGCCAAACACCAACCCTAGATTGCTCCTACCATGTGCCTTCTCTGCTTATACTTAGGCATTGCTGTTTAGAGCTGGAAGAAGCCACGTTAATTGAATTGATTGAGTACATTATCAGTTTATGTGACTGAACTTCAGTTTGGTTCTCACTCTAAGGCAAAGCAATCCTGTTCTCTCCAATTGTTTTTCTATTCCAACTCCTTGAGAGTCTGTTCTAAATCTTCTTTTCTTAAGCCTTCCACCACCTCAACTACCCACCACTTCCCCTCTCTCCCCTGAGTACTTCTCTTACATTACTGAGGAGGTTGAAGCCAGTTAAGCTACGCAAGAGTTCCTTTTCTCCTCTTCTCTTCATCTCAGAACTCCTTGACTTCATCCCCATCCTCTTTTCTTTTCCTCCAGTCCCTGATAAAGAAGTCCTTCTGGCCAAAGTCAATATTTCTACATAGGCCCTTTATCCTATCCCCTCCAGCAGACTGCTCCTTCAGACATCACCTTCCCCCTCTCAATGTTGAGTGTTTGCTTATCTATTGATCCCTTTCTTATCACCTTCCAAAATATGGACCCCCACCCTTTAAGAACAAAAATCTTCACTGGACCTAACCATCTGATCTAGCTATTATTCTTTATCTCGCCTCTCCTCCATTTCTCAGCCAAATTCCTTGGAGGGTGGGGGATGAGGAGAACTGTCTGCTTGTTGCCTTAACTTGCTCTCTTCTCCTTTTCAATCTGGATTCTGATTTCATCACTCAACTGAAACAACTCTCTCCAAAGTTAACAATGATTTCTAAATTGTGACTTTTTTTAGTCCTCATTCTTCTTGACCACTTCTCAGCATTCAACAGTGTTGATCGTCATCTCCTGCTGGATCCTCTCTAGGTTTTCACGACACTA